TTTTTTTTTTTTTTTTTTTTTTTTTTTTATATAATTAGTTTATAATAAAAATGAAAATATATTATTTTTAAAAAAAAAAAAATAACCTTTATATAATGGTAAAAGGAAGGGAGACTTTGCTTCTTTTATTTCAACCATTTATGAAAAAATAACTCGAAAGAGAAAAAAAAAATATGTAATAAAATAAAATAGATATATATTAAATTAGCTTCATCTATGCAACACCAATTCTATAAAATATTTCTACAAAAGAAAGTATATGTTCATATATAGGAGAAAAAAATTCTCTTAAAAAAAAAAAAAAAAAAAAAAAAAAAAATATATACAAAAACAAATAAAAATATACACCAAAATATACAAAAAAATAAAATGTGATATTTAAAAATAAAAAAAAATTTGTATAAAAAATTTACCAAATGGTAATATGTAAGTTGATGTAATGAAAATAAATTAATGTTATGATTTCATTAAATAATTCAAAATAATACTCTAATAAAAAATTATAGCAAATATAAATGTAATTGTTTAATAGATGTGAAAGGATATATTTAATTTTAAAAAAAAGAAATAAAAGAAAAGAAAAATTTAAAACAAAATGAATGCAAGAATAAATTTCTTCGAAAAGGTCAAGAAAACTGAAATAAGGGAAATTGAAAAAAAGTTAATACATATTCATAAAACAGTTTTATCAAATTTTATTAGCTCTTATAATTTAAATAAAGAAAAAATAATTGCTTGTTGGAAAAAATGTCATATATATGAAACAGATGTAATAGATAATATAATTTTATTTTTTGAAAATTATAAGAATTTTGCAATATTCAATGAAACGAATATATCAATTGGTAAATATTTTATGTATTTAAATATTTACTTGAAAAATGTAAAAATTAAAAAAAATCCATTTAGGGCAATAAAACTACATATTTTTAATAATAATAAATGGAAAGATAAATTAATATTTCAATTTTTAAAAGATATTTTTTTAAATGATGAAAATTACACGGATTGTAAAACATTGGTAATAGAAAATTTAATTAATAATTATGATATATTTAGTGATCATATAAAATATGTGTATATCAGTATTTTAAGATACATTAATGAAAATTTAAAAATATCTTTTTTAAAAAAAAATCAAAATTATTTAAATATTTTTGCGAATTTTCTAATTACTTTTAATAGTAATGCAACAATAGAATTAAAAACAGATATACTTAAAATTTTCTTTTTTATTTCTAAAAATTTAAAAAAAATTTTATTACAATTTCCGTTTGATAAAGATATATGTACACATGTATGCTTAATACACCAACAAATTAAAAATATTATAAATAATTATGAAACTAATATAAATAATATTTTAAATAATAAAGAAAGATTTTATTACATAGTTGAGGAAAATTTTAATGAAAACGAGCATTTTGAAAAAAATAATAGTACAGTAAAAAATAAAAATTATAAAAATTGTTTTATTCATAACTCGATCAAAAATAATGAAATAAATTCCATTAAAACTAAATTTAACGAATTAAAGAAGTATGAAATAAAAATCAATGATATTAGCATAAATACTGAAATCAAAGATGATAATATAAAAAAGGAAAACACACAAAATCAAAAAGAAGAAAAAGAAATTGAAAAAAAAGACATATACGAAAATAATTACCATAGAAATGTTAGCATATTCAACAAATATGTATTGTTCATCGAAAAAATAAAAAAAATAATAGAGAATTGTGATGATATTATTAAAAAAAAAAAAAAAGAAAACCCTTTTTTAATATTATGCAAATATAGAAGTATTCTTATTATAAAATATAAATATATAATAAATGCTAATGTTAATGAGAACTTTGATTATTTTTTGCTATTTTTTAAAATAAAAAACTTATTATGTTGTAGTAGTAAAAATCCAGTTTTTATATTTATGTGTATAGAAAGCATAAATTACTGGTTACAAAAAAATGAAAAAATTCACTGGATTTTTGAAGATCTAAACAAAGAATTTTTAAATAATGAAGAAGATGAAAAAAGTAATTCACTTTTTAAATCAAATAATTGTGGAGAAGAATTTGCACAAAATAGTTTATTGAACACAAAAAGTTCTTCAAATAAAGAAAAATACAACAAATGTGAATGCATAAATGTGGTTGATGAAAATCTCTCAACAAAAATATATTATAAGAATGATGAAATTGAAAATAATTACTTAAGTGATGGAAATATTGAAAACGTAAAAGAACAAAATTATAAATGCCATGTAAAAAAAAATACAAACGAAAATGTTCTTTCTATAAAAAAATTGGAAAATAAAGAAAATTTTGATTTGTTAGAACTAGATGAAATAATGAATACAGAACAAAGTGTGAAAATTAGCAATTTAAAAATATACTTTAAAAATTGTAATTATGAAAAGAAAATAGAATATTTAAAGAAATTGTATACAGTTATAATTAGAAGTATATTATTAATATTAAAAAAGTATTCATGGTATAACATAAAAATAATATGGAATAGTTGCATGTGTGTTTATGAACTTTTATTAACTAGCAAAAAATATAAATTTATAAAAAATGATATTTATAATATTTTAACATATATTATTTTTAATCAAGAAAAAAAAAAAAAATATTTATGTTTGTCACTATTATTAAAGTATTTTAAGAAATCCATGTGTGAAAAAAATATTTTAGAATATTTATTTTACTGCTTTTTTATAGATGATGAATTCTTTATGTCTAGCTTATATGAATTAATAAAGCAATGTATAAAACATATTTTTATTCATTCAGAAGATAAATATTTATTATACTATATATTTATAAAAAATATTTTACTAACTAAACATTTTTTTTTGAAAACATTTTATATAAAGAAATTTATTGAATTATTTTTTAAAAATGATAATAATTATATATGCTTTATTTTAAATAAGGAATATTTTTATTTAAAAAAATATTTTGATGAGCATCAAAAGGTTAAAATAAAAAAGGGTGAACAAAAATATATACAGAAAAATGATCATTTAGATAATGTATTATATGTTAATAATATTAACGATTCTAAGGAAATGTTAAATGAAGATTATTTTCAAATTTTAAAAAATAAGCTATTAGAGGAAAATTGTCTTTCAGAAATTATATATAACAATATTATTAACAAAAAGGAAGAAAATATCTTTTTAAATTATAAAATTATAAATACTGAAAAAAAAGATAATATAATAATTAATAACAATAATAACTTAAAAAAATATTTTTTATATAATTTTCATTCTTTAGAAAATATAATTTTTTTAGAATTGTATACATTATGTACATTAAGAAAATATGAATATATAGAAATTGTTAACTATAAGAATGATTATTTTTATGAATTAAATAATGATTTCTTATTAAATGTTAAGATATTAAGAAATTTTCTTTATTTTTCAAGTGAGGAAATTACTTTATCAATTTTATCCTTTATATGTGAAAACAAATATTTAAATATATGTGACCTTTATTTGTTTTTAACATTTTTATCTGTATCAATAAGTAATATATCTAGAATGAGCAGAGATTCATATAAAAAATATATTTCACTTTTTTTTGAAAAATTTTTTATATTCTATCAAAGAATGATTGAATTAGAAAAAAAAAGAAAAATAGTTTACACAAAAAAAAAAGAACAAGAAGTAATGAAAAAAAATGAAGGTAATGAAAATAATGAAAAATATAATGAAAATGAAGAAATATATGAAGAATGTAATAACTATTCTAAAAAAAATGTTCATGGAAGTTATATGAATATGAAAAAAGCTATTTCATTTTTATTTGGCCCAAACTTATTAAGTGAAGATATGTATCAAAAAAATGGTTATTCATCTTGTATATTTTATTTATCAAATAAGAAGTATATGAATGAAAGAGAAAATATTTTTTTATATAATTATTACATAACTAATATAATCTTTATTTTGTTTAAAAATATAAATAAAGATATGAGTATAGAATCATCTGTGTACTGTTCTGATATACTAAAAACAATATTTGAATATTGTGCAAATTTTGAAAACATAAATTTTTTATTTTTTATTTTTAATATAAGAACAACATGGAAGGAATTATATTTGCTTTCAAAAGATATTTTTTTTAAAACTGTAAGTATAGTTCTGTTAAAAAAACATAATTTTTCATGTTTAAATAATTCTTTTATACCATTAATGAATTCTCATAAACAAGTTGATCATTCGTTTTCCGCGTTTTTATTAAATCTGTGCTTTGTTTCGTTAAATTATAACAACTATATTAAAAAAAAAGGAAATATATTAGATAATAATATTAAAAGGAACATGATATCCATAAAGTCAAATAATTTAAAATTAAATATGAATGAAAGAAATTCTACAGATTTTTTTAATTGCTTTATTAAATTTAATGATATTGCAGATATAAAACACAATAATAAGCATTTAATTAACTATATAGAATATTTATTTAATGATAATTATAAATATAATATTTCTAGAAATATCCCTTTGTATATATTAGAAAATTTTATTCATAAGATTAAAAAGGAAAATATAATGAAATTAACAAAACATAAGGATTTAGAAAATAGTATAATGTATAAACTAGCTTATTATATAAATGAATTTATATTATATTTAAAAGATAATATTAATTTTAATAATGAAATGGAAATATCAGATCTCAATAAGTTTCTGGAAATAAGTTTATGCCAATATTTGACTTACATAAATTTTGATAATTTTAAATTATTTTCATTTTTAAATAATGGTTTTTCTTGTAGCTATTTAATATTATTAAAAATATACATGTGTAATATTCTTTATTATTTTTTTAATTATTTAAATTTTTTATTTTTAAATAATTCTAACAATTTCTTTTTTGATTGTAGAGGACATATAATTTTCAGAAACGAAAATGAAAAAGAAGCATCATCAATAATAGTTTGGTTATCTATTAAATATATATGCACATTAATAACATCAATTGTTGATTTTTCTTTTAAATTTAATATTACGTCTACCAAAAATAACTCTAACTTATTTTCTGTTAATAATAAAATAAAAAATAGAATTGTGAGTAATCAAATAGAAGAAAAAAATAAAAATAAAGAAAAAATAAATTTAATGAATGACAAAAAAAATATGGAAAAAATAAATTTAATAAATGACAAAAAAAATATGGAAAAAATAAATTTAATAAATGACAAAAAAAATATGGAAAATTTAAATAATATTAATGAAAAAAAAAATATGGAAAATTTAAATAATATTAATGAAAAAAAAAATATGGAAAATTTAAATAATATTAATGAAAAAAAAAAAAATGTGTCTGTATACTTTTTTAATAATAAGGAAATTCATTTTATAATTCAAAATCTTTTATGTTTATTATTATACTCTAAACACGTAGCTTGCCAACAATATTTGTCTGACTGTTTATTAAATATCTGTAAAATTATAGTTTTAAAATCTAATGATGAAATTCAAACAATTCCATTATTCTATATATATTTTATTTTACTTATTTTTAAAGATGATAACAATATAAAAAAAAAAATGAATGAAAAAGATATAGAACCAAAAAGATCATTTAATAAGGAGAATGATTATTCTGATCAGAATGACACTATAAATGATAGTATAAAAGATAACATAAATAATAATAATGATAATAAAAATTCTGAATTATTAAATAAAATTATCATCAATTTAAATAAAATCCTAATTTCTAAAGGGGATAATAAAGATTTGAATGATATTTTATCAACGAATTTTATTAAGGTTAATTTTAATATAGAAAATTCACAAAAAGCACATATAAATTATAAAAATGAAAAAAAAGATAATAAAAATGTATATGATGAAAGGAGTTATATATTTGATTTTCAAGATATAAAATTTGAAATAAACAGAAAATTAATTATTCTCATTTTAGATAATAAAAAAATTAATATGAATTTTTTACGAAAATCTAATAATATGTGTTTAGCTTTAAATTCATTAGCCAAATCATATAGAATAAAAGAGCAATATATTATTTATAATTTTATAATAAAAATAATTATAAATTATTTATATAATGGTAATAATAAATATAAAAAAGTTATTTGTTTAAATATTATAAAACATATATATACTACTATAGATAGTAAAACTTTATATGAGTATATTAATGATATTTATAAAATATCACTAATTTATTATAAAAGTAAATTTTTTTGTTTAAAAAGTTCAAGTACATCTTTATATAACATTTTAACAAAAAGATTATTATCGAAACTAAATTTTTCGTATCATGTATCATCAAATGTATTTTATTTTTGTACAGGAAGCAAAAATAGAATATTTAAAAACATAAATTTAACATTTTTTGATTTACTTAATTCGATCAATTTACTAAAAATATTTTTAAATGTTTTTATAAAAAAGTGTCAATTGTTAAATAATGAATTTTGTAATAAATATAAATATGAATCCTTTTTCGATTATTCTAATTTTTTTGCTGAATTTATTCCTATATTAATATTTTTATCAAATATAATAATTTTTAATAATGAAGATTATTTTTTACTATATAACAATAAGGGGGATTTATCATCTACATTTAAAATATATGGAAATATTCAAAAAAAAACATTTAATTTTATTAACAATAATAACAAATCATCTAAACATAATAATTACATTAAAGATGATATTTATAATTATGTAAGTGATAGTGAAAATAATTATCATGATATGATAAATAATAATAATATAAATGATAATGTAAATAGCATAAATATTTATTTCCTTTTTTTAAGGTATTTTAAAAAATTATTTATTTATGGTAATTATTTTGTACAAGCTCTGATATGTAGAATAATTGTTAATGTGTACTTGCATATTTATCTAAAATTAAAGAAAGAAAATTTAATTTTCAATTTTTTAAATAAAATAGTAATAAATATAATTAAAAAAAAAAAGAAAAATTGCTACTTACTTTTATTTATTGAATTTATAAGGAGAAAAGAGTCCAAAACATTAATTGACAAAAATAACGGAAAATTTAGGAAAATATTTTTTCATTTTGTTAATATATTTATAAAAAGTAAAACTTATTCAGAAATCCTTTTAATTTTACAAATTTTAAATATACTGTATAGCAAAATACTTATTTCTGTAAACAAAAATTTGGTAACAATATTATATAATAAACTGTTATTATATAAAGATATGTTTTTATCCGTTTTAATCAATGAATTGTTAATGAAAATAACTAAAACTATTAATAATTTTATTTCTATTTTAGAGTTACATTTGTTGAATAAAAATGAAAATTGTATAGAAGCTTTCTTATATAAATGGAAATTATTTATAAAGAAAAGAGAAAAAAAAGAATTTAAAAAAAAAGAGAATGAAATAAATAAATTACTAAATTATAATTCTTGTAATTTTTTTTTTGAATATAATAAAAACAAATATAGTTCTTTAAAAAAAAATGAATCCAATAATACGGATGAATCTTCATATGATAATCTAAATAAAATAGATGAAAATGTAGATGAAAGAGTATATATATATATTTATTTATTACTATTTGAAATTATTAATATGTATAACGATAATATAAAAATAAAAAAATATTGTTTTAGCATTTTATTAACAGTAGTTAAATTTATATGTATTGATAATTTAGCTTTATTTGATAAGATGCAACAATATTATTTAAAATACAAAGATAAAAATTATTTAGATAAGTATATTATACATTACAGTTACCTTGTTTGTGTAAAATTTTTTAATAATTATAAAAAAGAAGATAATGAAAGAGAGAGAAATAATCTTACAGAAAATGATTTCTTTAAAAGGATATTTGAATATATATACGAAGAAAAAAAAAAAAGAGTATCTTCAATAAATTGCAATTTTGATGATTATATTTTTGATTATGCCTATTTTTATTTTCTTCTTTTTATGAATTTTCTTTCAATACTATATAATAAAAATTCAACTTCATATACAAAATATTTCGTCAATGCATTTATCAATTATGATATAATTGAATATAATTATTTATTTATAGAAAAGGAAGAAGTAAAATTAAGAAAAATGAACAACTATTTACATAATAATATTAAAAAAAATGAAAATGTTTTGAATAAAGAAGTAATTTCTTCAGAATACCATATGAGTGATCATTTTTTTTCTGAAGGAAAAAAAAAAGAGAAAAAAGAAAATTTTGATATTATTAAATGTTTCAAAAAAAATAATTGTATTCTTAAAAATTATAATAAAATACATAATAATTATTATTATAATCATTTAGAAGGAAAAAACCAAAATAATTACAATTGCAATTACAATAATAATAAATGTTGTGAAAATATAAATGAAAATAAAAAATATTTAAAGTGGTATAAAAGCGATTTAAACAGAAATATAAGAGAAATGATATATAAAAAAATAAATAATCAAAATATTACTTCTGATATAATTTATATAAAAAATCCACTGAAGCATTTGAGAACATATAATTTATTTACGAGTTTTTTTATATTATTGTATAGTTGCTTAATATTTATGTTAAATGATGAAAATGAATTAATAAGATACAATACTAAAATTTTAATTTTATATTTTATGAATAAAAATGTGATAAATATATCTAAAAACATGAACAATGTTACATGTACTGACTTCTTCATTTATTATATTATAAAATTTTATAATAAAATATCATTAAATATTTTATCATTTTGTATATATCAAACGAAAAGTTGTATCAAAAATAAATTTTATTATAATCCCATTAAATTATTTGACCAAGAAAAATATAATTTATATATAAATAATATATCACTAAATCATTTGTTTTTATTTTATTATTTATTTAGTATCACAATTAACCTTCAAAATGTACACAGTATAAAACGGAAAAATATGAAATTAAATAACCAAATGAAAAATATGAGTATGGATAGTAACGATGTTAAAAGTGATGATAATTGTAATATAAGCTTTCAAGAATATTCTGAAAGTAAATATAGTAAAATAAATTACTTGAAAAATGAGCAAAATAAAAAAGAGATTATTGATTTTTATATATTTTTAGATATATTAGACAATAAAAAAAAAGAATGTTTTGTAAACAATATAAAAATGAAAAGTTTTGATGTAAATATAACAAATGATAAAATAAATTTCGACAATTATAATTTATATTTATTAAAATATCGCCGAATATGGAAATATTTATTGAGTAATATAAAAAAGAATATGTTAAGTCGTGAAGATGACGGTTCATTAACTAATAATATAAAACTCATTGAAATATTTTATTCCACCTTAAAAATGAATTATATTCTTGATATTAAGAAAAGCCTAAATGATTACTTGAATATTTTAATGTCTAATAAAATAGTTGATTTTTTCGACTCTAATTTCGTTATTTGCTTAAGTAATTTATTTAATAAAATAATTATTCTCTTAATCAACTTGTATATTTTTTTTCAAAAAAAAACAACTTTATATTACAACAGTTACTTTTATGATGAGATAATTAAAATTAAAAGTAGTATGACATGTATTTATGATTATTTTAAATTAACAAAAAATGAAATTAATCCATTTTTATATAAAAGTATGGAGCTTTTATTAGGTATATTGAATAATGCTTTTCTTACGAACAAGAACTTCTTTTTGGATATATTTGTATTACTTTACTCTTTGAAATATTCTATATAAGATGACAAATAAAAGATTTAATTTATCAATATAATTTTTTTTTTCCCTTAAATGTTACAAACACAGTACAAAATATTTAATATGTTAAAGTGATCATATACTTGTGATTTTCTGTCTTTTGAGTTTTTCTTTCAACAATGGACTTTTTTAATGTTATAAAAGAAAAAGTTATAAAATATGAATTACAAAAACAAAAATGAAATAGTATAATAACAAAATAATATAAACGGTATATTAGATATTGTAACATTATTTATAAGTCTTCAAATTTCTGTGGAAAACATTCTTTAACATCTTTATTATGTTTATTTTCGGCATGTTCAGCTAACTGTGCAATACTTTGTGTTTTCATAAATACAGTATAACAAACCTTGTGTAAAAAAAAAAAAAAAATTAAAAGAATTAAAAAAAAATATTAAATTATCAAGTATTTTTAAAAAAATATATATTATTAAAATATATATATATATATATGTATAAATATTTTTAATACTTAAAAAAATATGTTTTAAAAATGATTACAAAAAATTTTGTGATGTTGAATGTATAAATTTTTATATACATTATATAAATTTTTAATTTAATGAAATTTTTATTTTATAACTTTGCAAGTTACGTTAAGTGCTTCTTTGTTTGCTTTTAATTGAGATTTTCCTCCTTTCACTTCAACATTTTTTCTCTCTCTTGCTTGATTTCTTTTCTGTTTTTAATATATATAAATAACACAAAAAATGAATAAAAATTTATGTATTTTTTCCTTTTTTTTTTTTTTTTTTTTTAATTAAACATACACAAGCATTGCTTCCTTTACCCATTTTTTAATATTTTCTTTTATTTAGTAAAAGATAAGTTAAATGAAAAAATATAACTTGTTAATTAATGAAAGTAATATTACACTGTAATACTGAGTATATATAAAAAGGAATTTGAATTAATTTGTAAATTTTTTTTTTTTTTTTTTACTCTTATTACATATTTTTTAAAAAGCTATAAAAAAATATATGTATATATTGTAAACAAAACAGAAATATAGCATTAAAAAAGGATTTTAAGAAATACGTCCAGAAAAAAAAAAAAAATATAGGGTATAAATGTAATATAAAAAAGAAAAAGCTATATTAACAGATAAAATTGATTTAAAAAAATAAAAAACAAAAGGCTATTAACAAATCAATTAGTAGAAATAAAATATTTTAAAATAAAATGATTGTTCGTAAATCTAATAAAAAGATATATATGGATATGACAATTTTTTTTGAATTAAATATGTATTATTTATATAATTTTTTTCAGATTACAAAACATCAACTAAATAGAATAATAATATATAAGGAAATGAAAAATTCTATTTTTTCCCTAGATTAACAGAAACTAAAAAAAATATTAAAAAAAGGTAAAACTGGTATTAATCCTCGTAATAAATTTTTATAGGAATAATTTATTGAAATTTGTGATTTAAGGGGAAATCCTTTTCCCTTTTTTTTTTATTTTATGTATTATTACCTTTTTTTTTTTTCCCTTTTGTTCTTAAGAGATTTTCAATTTATTATAAAAACGTCTTCAAGATTTTAAAATTTTAAAATTATTTTTATAATATGATATACATGCTATTACTATTTTTAATCATTTGAAAAATAATTTCTACAAAAAAAAGCATGCTTATATTTAATAATTTTAATGGAAATATTTAAAACTCTTATTCTAATCTCTTTTTTATTTTTAATATACTAAAATAAATTAATCCGTAACTTTTTACTTGTAATTTTTTTGAAGTTTTATTAATTCATGAAAAAAATATATTATGATTTAATGAAATACTTTTAGGTAAATGAAAAAATAAAAAAAAATTAAAGAATTCATTATATGAAAAATTACGGGAAGGAAATAAAAGCACTATCATAATAGACCTATATAAAATATAACAGATAAATTTTAAATATAATCAAATAAATCATATATATAATTTATATTGTATATCATTATTCTCTTAATATGTAGTTTAATAAATTGATGTTACGAAGAATTATTTATAAAAACCATAACATATGCACCCTGTTGAATTAAAAAAATACGTTTTTATATCTGTTCAAGTCATATTCTTTTGGAATTTATTTTCATAAAATTCAAGTGTGAAATTACATTTTTAAAATATATTTATAAATTATACATATAAATATATATTTATATTAATATATATTTCCTATCAATAATTTTGAGTTACATAAATTTTATTCATTTATGCTTTAGATATTTTTTATTTTTTAAATATTAAGAAAATTAATATTTTAAAAAATTACATTTTAATATTAGGTTACAGAAGAAAATAAATATTATAAAATTTTTCATATTTTTAATTGTGCGTTTATTAATTTTTAAATAAAAAAGAAAGAGCTAATTCTCTTTACTCATAATAAAAGCACAACTGTTGTTGTACGATATAATTAACCAAAAATATACATTCAGTAAATATTTACTATTTTAGTACTAAAAATTAATAGCATCATAATTTTAAATTAAGTTATTAACTACAAAAAAAAAAAAAAAAAAATCTCTTTATATAGAAAATATTAATATAATAAAATAAATTTTTCTTTATTTAAAATAAGCGTTCTAAATGAATTATTGTCTTTTTTCATATATATATTAGAAATATCCTTTCCAAAAAATAAAAAATAATTAATATGTTGAAATATATATAAAAAATGAAATTGTATTCTTTAAAAAAAAAAAGAAAAAAGAATATCTGTTTCTTTACTAACATTATTTTTTAATTTCCTATATATATAATATAAGAAATCGATATGTTTTTTATTCAATATATATTTTACAAAAGTGTATTAATTTCGAATAATTCAAAGCTCTTCTTCATAAATTTTGTAGATAAAAATACTAATAATTAAAGTTAATAATAAATAATATTGTTAAACTAAAAAAAAAAAATTATTAATAAAATTATAATTATTAACATTTTTTAATCTAATAATAAATTTTTGTTATTAAATTTATCTTCACTAAAAAAAAATACTAACAAATTTTTAGAAATATGAAATTTACTAGGAATATTAAGAATTTGTAAAAAAAATATAGAAAAAACAAAGAATAATATTTATGTAAGAACTATAGTTAAAAACAAATATGAATAAAAATAATACATTAATTGAAAGTGCAAATTTGTGCACATAAAAATATTACTTAGAATAAATGAATTACAAAATGTCTACAATTTATGCTATGTATAGATATATTCATTTTTGTACTATTTTTAACTTTACTAAATTTTATGTTTCTTTTAATTTTTTAAAATACTCGATTTATATTGAAGAATAAAATAATTTAAATGATATAGATTTTAATTCATATTGTGCATACATGATAAAATTTAAGTAAAAAAAAAAAAGACAAATCTAACGATTAAAACAAAATGTTTAATGAAAATATGTATTGAAATTACCCATATAAAGTATTCTTTTTCTTTTGTATATTTTTAATTTAAAAGAAAATAATAGGGGAGATAAATATTTTAAAGATATTAAAAAACATATTTTCCTGTTTACGGGAGACATGTTATTGTTTGTTTAATTTTATGTATTATCATAATGAAAATTATTTTTTTTATCAAAAAATTTTTTATTTTGCACTTATTTATTTTCATTTTAAAGAAATATATAAAGAAAAGCAACTATGATTTTTCTTTATTTATATACACTTTGAAAATAAATAGTTCTCAAAATACAGATAATACAAATGGTGAACTAAATAAAAATGATTGGAAAGATAATAATGAATATAAATATATTAAATTAAACTCTTCCTTTAATGTGACTGATAATAATCAAAACGTTAACGAAAGAAAAGCGAAGAAGAGTGATTTAAATGATCCTACTGATAATTACTTAAAAAAATTTGTATTTTCAAATGATGATAATCTAAGTGATGATGAACATAGTACAAAAAAATATGACAATGAAAATAATGTAGAGAAAAAAACTTTAATAGATGAAAAGATACCGATAATTTATACATCTATAGATGATATTAAAAGATTTCCTGAAATAAGAGGAAAATTAAAAATAATTTATGTTAAGTCTTTTTACGATCAATACCTGAAAGAATTATATGAAGCAAAATTTCAATTTTATCACAACAATGTAATTTATGTAACAACCTTTGCAGTAGTGAGAAATGCTATAGAAGAAAATTTCAATCAAACAGATAGATGGCTAGTAGCAGATATGAAAGTATTACAAAAAAATAATTATAATATTTCAATTACGTGTAATGATAAAATTAAAAGTTTTCATGGAACTATTTCATTTACTAAAGAAGAATTAGAGAATTTTGAAATATTGAGAAAATCTCTTAAAAATAAAGTAAATATAACTTATGATAAATCTTTTTATAATTTAAATACATTTTACAGCTCTAAGAGAAAATATTTAGATTATATAAATTTTAAATATAAGAAATCTGATATTAAAAAAACATTTGATACAGAAGGCGATTATGCTTATTTAAAAAATAGAAAATATAGATATAAATCTTTAAAACATTTAAGTAATGATAAAATAAAATTTGCAACTTTTAGTAGAATTCATAGTAATTATAAGACAATTTGTGATCTTAAAGAAGGTTAGTATATTTTTATGAAGAAATAAACCAAAATGTTATACTAAATTTATATATATATATATATATATATATATATATATATATATATATATATAATGTCAATTCATATTAATCATTATTTATTTTTATGATTATTAATTTATTTTGTTCATTTTTTTCTTTTTTATTCTTAAAATACAACTATATCATTTTACCAAATATAATTAGAAATTATGTTTTTTTAAAATATTTTAATATGTCTACATATTTAATTAATATTTTTTAATAAATGTAAGGGATAATTTAATGTTATTATCTTTATCTCCGTAGAGATTTTTGCTATTAATTATATATATTTTTGATTTTATGAATTTCTTGTATAAAAATTATAAAATACATTACGAAAACACCTTATTTTATATACAAATGTAAATATAATTCATTTTTCTTTATAGGTAAAAAAATTGAAGATAGATTTATTATATATAATTTATTAAAAGATAATGTAATAGAGTTAGAAGAAGATGAAGACACTATTATTTTTGAAACTAGTGAAAATAAAATTTTTACATATGATCCAAAATATTCTAAAGAGATAAAAATTTTAAGTAATAATTTTGAGATAGAATTATTAATGGATGAAAATGCCTTTTTAAACTCTCACAATGAATATTTTTATTTAAATAAGCATAATCCTATACACTTAGAATTGCAAGATAAAGGTATTTTTAGTTTTAAATTTATTTATTCATGGTTATTTAAATATTTTGTTAACAATAAGGAACATATAAATTATTATCCTCATTTTTACATGATGAAGAACTCAGATAATAGTGAAATAGGATTAGATAAGGTAAAGTTTTATACTCTTGAAAATTATTCATTCATAGAAAAAGGCCAAAAAATTACCAATATTTTTACACACAAAAATGAGAATGATTCATTGAGAAATATTTCAAATATAATTGAAAACAAATCAGAGTTAATGCGAAAAAAAAATATGAAATATGATCAAAAAAACAGTTTGTTTACAATTGAAAATCATTATGAAAATCTTGGTATTTTTGATAATAAATATGACAAGATAAAAAAGGGAGAATCTGCAAAATACATAAATAATAGCACTGCAACATCTTTTACTCAATTAAATGCAAAGTTAAATAATGAAAAAACAGAAGACAATAATAATGAAAGTAATAAAGGAGGTGATGATGAATATTATGATGCTGTTGAATATTTAGATAATAATAATCCTAATGAAAACAATAGTTCTAATACTAATAAAAGGCATGTTGAGAATGATGATAATGAAAATGATGAATATTTTGATAGTTTTGAAGATCTTGATAATGATAATAATTCTCAGAATAATGGTGATAATGATAATAATTCTCAGAATAATGGTGGTAATGATAATAATTATGAGAATAATGATGGTAATGATAATAATTCTCAGAATAATGGTGGTAATGATAATAATTATGAGAACAATGATGGTAATGATAACAATTATGAGAATAATGATGGTAATGATAACAATTATGAGAACAATGATGGTAATGATAATAATTATGAGAATAATGATGGTAATGATAACAATTATGAGAATAATGATGGTAATGATAACAATTATGAGAATAATGATGGTAATGATAACAATTATGAGAATAATGATGGTAATGATAACAATTATGAGAATAATGATGGTAATGATAACAATTATGAGAATAATGATGGTAATGATAACAATTATGAGAANAATTATGAGAACAATGATGGTAATGATAACAATTATGAGAACAATGATGGTAATGATAACAATTATGAGAACAATGATGGTAATGATAACAATTATGAGAACAATGATGGTAATGATAACAATTATGAGAACAATGATGGTAATGATAATAATTATGAGAACAATGATGGTAATGATAACAATTATGAGAACAATGATGGTAATGATAATAATTATGAGAATAATGATGGTAATGATAATAATTATGAGAACAATGATGGTAATGATAACAATTATGAGAATAATGATGGTAATGATAACAATTATGAGAATAATGATGGTAATGATAATAATTCTCAGAATAATGGTGATAATGATAATAATTATGAGAATAATGATGGTAATGATAATAATTCTCAGAATAATGGTGATAATGATAATAATTATGAGAATAATGGTGGTAATGATGATAATTCTCAAAGCATTAGTGGTAATTCTGAGAACACTGATGGTGATGATAATAATTCTGAGAACAGTGAGGATAATGATGCAAGTAAAACAAATGATGAAACTTCATATATTGGTAATTTCCAAGGATATTTAAAAAATATTATGAACAGATTTTTTTATGGAGAAGATAATGAAGAGAATTCTAAAAATGAAAATGTAGAGAAAACAGTTGTTAATAATAATAATACTGAATCATCAGAGAATGTTACTTCTGTTGATAAGGATTCTAATAATGATAATAATACTTCAAAAGATGCAAATGTTTCATCACATCAACAATTTCTAGATAATCAACAACCTCTACCAGATCAGCAGTCTTCACCTCATCAACCATCTACATCACATCAATATGCTTCATCTGTTGAGAATTCTGAATCAGAACAACAATCTACATTTGATGAACAATCTGAACCAGATGAACAGCCTACATCTGGAAATTATTCATCTCCATCTAATGAAAGACACTTTCAATTTGGTAGTAGTGCAACAAATATGGATAAAAGTGCACACAGTACATTTATGTCGCCAAAATATCATTCTGATTTAGGAGCATATGATTCTCATTCAAATAATAATAATATTCATGAAAATTTAAGAGATAAATTTAATGAGAATGATCTGTATTTATATACTTATAATGATATATTAGCTGAAAATTCTGATAGAGTGATTGTGGGAATTGCTCAGAAAGAAATGAAGGATCAATTCATTTTAAATTGGTTAAATGGAAATGATATTATATGTGTTCTTAGACCAGAACATTATAAACAATTATTTCATGATGATGTAAAAAGTAATTATCTTACAGTATTAAATTCCTTTAAATTTAGAAATGATATGAATGGTCCACCCATAGATAAAGATTCTAAATCATTAACAGTAAATGCTGATTTTTATCCTCATTATTCAAAGATAAAGCTCTTTTTTTATGACGAAAGTGATATTTTTCAGAAAGAATTGAAATCATATTTGCTATTAATATATTATTTATTAAATTCTAATAACAGTCCTTGTAAAGACTACAAAAACATTAGATATTTTTATAGTCAAGATACTTTTAATATATCTCATTTAAATTTTATTAGTAATAAGTTATTATTTTTAGCTTCTGAATGCGCCTTAAAAATTTTAAAGTGGAATATACCTAAAGGAATAATAAAAAGTAATGAAAATTATATAAACGCATCAATATTTAATAAGGCATTAAAATATGTAAATAAAAAGATTTTTCATTATGGATTTAAATTAAATATATTAGAACTAGTAGATGCAGTGCAATTTTCTATTAAAAATTACAAAACATTAGAGAATAATTATCAAGCAAAATATGATATTTTTTTAAAATTAATATCTGAATTATTTTCTCTACAATCTTTAGGTTTGCTTCATGCAAATATAAAAGCAGATAACTATTTTATTCAAAAGAAAAATAATAAGAATAAATACTTGGATATTTTATTAGGAAATTTTAGTGATATTATAGAAGAAGGAAGTTATGAAAAAGTAAAAGGAAGCCCTATATATTTAGCCCCTGAAAAACTAGATTCTTTTTTTTATGCTATTGTGCATAATTTAAAAAGTGATATATTTTCATTAGGGTTAAGTTTATCCACTGTATTTTTAAAAAAAAGTTTTTTTTTAAGAAATATAGAAAGTAAATTAAAATTTCCTAGTGAAAAATATACAATAAGTCTCATCAGGAGAAATCCCATGATTTTATTATGGATTAAATCCGCAAATCCTTTTATAAAAAAAAGATTTGATATTTTTAAATTTAGATCATATTTAAAAGTTACTATACATTCTATGAAACAAAAACTTTCTAAAAAATATTTATACAATTGGTTCACAAAAAGAAATAAGTATATTGATTATATTAAAGAAAATGATTTTAAAAAGCTATACAATAGTATTAAAAATAAAAGACAAATATCAAATAAAAATTCTTTAAATAATAAAGATACACAAGAAGATAACTCCGATATATGTTCATTTTTTAGTAATGAAAACGAATTAGTGCCAAATGAAAGTACTACCTCAAGGAGCCCTGTTACAGATGATAGCAACACAAATAATAATGAATTTTTTTCTAATAATTATAGTGAAACAGTTGATCATAATTCTAAAAGCTCTAATGAAAAGACACAAGTTCCTAAGAGAAAAAACTTTTTACAACTTCTTCGTAGTCGTTTTAGTAAGTTTTCTAATAATTTTAAAAAAGGATTAAAAAAACATAAAAAAATGGAAAAACCAAATTTAAATGAAATGCCATCTGATAATAAATTTGAAAAGGAGATAATTACTTCAACTAATGAAAATGATGATGAAAAATATGCCAATGCTTGTAAAGCTCTAAAAAATGGAATAATAGGAACATGTACTAAAATATTTTCGATTGAATATGAAAAATTTAGACCAGATATATATGATATGTATTTCCTTGTTAAAAAGGAATTAAAATTTTTGAAAAAAGAAGATGACAAAATTAGTGATGCATTATTTATTTTAAGAAGTTTTCCTGAGCCAGATATAAGTTCAATTTTAAAAGAAAAAATAAATCAAGAATCCTATGAAATTAAAAAAATGATTATTTTAAAAGCATTAATATTTTACGGATATTTCGAAGTATATGAACGTTTATCTTATGAATTTAAGTTGTATGAATCTGAAAACTTTCCTTTATATGAAAAAAATGAAGATACATTTGAAAAAATTGTAATTAATAGTATGGACAGACAAGATTATAATGAATTGAGCAATATATTATTAATTCAACACATTTATAATCATTATCAGACTACAAAGGCGTTTTCTAATTTAGTTATCAATTTGTACACTGTAAATAAGGAAAGCTTTTATTTAGAAACGAGTAAAATAACCAAATTATTAAGAAAAAGAATACGTAAAATATTGAGGAAAATTGATTATACAAAAATGCAAAATTTTGTATTTTACATGAAGTCAAGAAGTTCCATAAAAAAAATTATTTCAAATAAAGATAACTATGAGTTCAACACTACCCCGAAGATGAACTATGATTCAATTTATGTTGCATCTAATAAAAACGAAATGGCTATTTTGAGTTCCTTTATTGTAAAAATAGATAATTTTGTAGCTAATGATTTGAAAGTAAATTTAGCAGTAATACTTAATCATATTTTTTGGAATCTTAAAAATAAATGTAAATGTATTAATTATACCCATATGCAAGTTGATTATAAAAACAAAGAAATGACAGATTATGCAATTAAAGATGCAAAAGTAGATATACATAAACCAATAGGAAATATTTTAAAAGAGTTAGAATCAAGGAAACATTCGAATTCAACAAATGAAAACAAAGTGGTAAATTTAAATAATAATTCAAATCTTGTAAATATTCATTTAGATGTTGTACTTAGAAATAGTCTATTTGTAAATGAAAGGAAAACATTCCTTAATTGTGGTAAGAAATTTTCCAAAAAGGAAATTGTTTATACTCCTACTATTTCAAGTGAGAGAAAAGATGAAACTGTGAAAATAAAAATTGGTTTAGGGACTTCCCACTTTTTTTATTTATCTTTTCATTTATCAATGATAAAATCACAAGAAATATTTTTAAAAGATATAATATATTTTATTTATCAAAATTATAAATCTGAAATTAAGAAATCTTTTTATACCAATATAAAAGGAAAGAAAACTTTACCTTTTAAATGTATCTCGATGAATGAACATAATACTTTCTTTTACAACAATGTTACAAATAATTTTATTAAAGAAACTTCTTTTAATAAAGTTCTTTCTGCTTTATATCATATAAACTTAACGGATCCATCTTATGTAATTAAAAGTTCTCTGAATTATTATAATAATAGAAAAAAAAATAGTGTTTTGCTTCGGTTAGTTACAGTCTCTAACGTGCTTTATGAAAAAAAAGATGCTAATTCTAAACAAACAGAATATTTCTTAGAATCATCAAATAATGCGAATGAAGAATTTAATAAAAATAAAAGTTCATTGGGATTTAGAATTTCTAAAGAAGATGCTCAAAAAATTAAAAAAAGTAAAAATAAAATAAGTATGGTAAATAAGGATGTAGGTTTTTATTATATGAGTGCTGACTGCTTAAATTTTTTAAATAAAAAAGTTATATCCTTTTATAATAATAATAATACAACAAATATTTTTGAACAGATAATTATTCCATCAAAGTTTTTATATGTAGAAACAAAAAAAAAATTATTTAAAAATGAAAAGATACACACTACTAAATCTATAAATTTTAATATTGTTTCTAATATAATGAATTTACAAAAATATCAAAATGAAATTTATACGACAGCAGACTTTGTGAAATTAATATTAAAATGGAAAGAATTAAATGAACCCTATGACAAAAATTATAAATGTAATTTTTTAACATGTAAAAATAATATGTTAAATTATGATATGATATTAAGTTATACAACAAGTAAAGAAGTAAAACTTGTGCTATATAACAATAATGAAAACTTCTTAGAATTTTTGTTTTCTCATATCTTAAAAGGTCACAAAGTAAATAAATATACACCTCAATTCTTAATGTCTTATATTCATTTATATAATTTGAAAATATATTTTGCTTTCAAAAATGAGATAAAAGATATTTTTCCTAATTTAGAAAATTCATCCACAAATATGAAAAAGGTAATTAAATATATATATATTGAATCATTTTACAAAATTTTTAATAATTTTTTTTCTAATTTATTATAAATATTTTTTTTTTATTATTATAGATATTAAACTAGTTAATTTTTATAAAAAGAAATTTTATTTTATATAGTCTACATTAAAAAAATATTTTTTTTTTTTTTTTTTTTTTTTTTTTATAGGAAGAAAACTTGAAATTTGCCAAATGCCTAAAATCATTGGAAGGAAAAAATGTAACCTTACTTGGTCAAGAAATCAATGAAGAATTGTATGTACCTTTAAGAGTAAAAATTTTTAATAGGAATCTCATATATAGAATATCAAAACAAAATTTTAAAAAATTGATATTTAAATTTAAATTTTTTGAAGTACCAAATGATGAAAAACAATTACATTCTAATATTCTATCTTCTTTAAGGGAAATTGAATTAAAATTTAAATATTTATTTTTAAAAGATTTAAGTTATTATGTAAATATTTCAAATATAACAAGAAGTAAGAAATTGTTTTTTGTAGACATGAATAAAAATATTTACAAATATTTAAAAGAAAATGATATTTATAAAAATAATTATACCGTCATTGTAGAAAAATTGATTAATTATATGGATAATAATCCTATGGAGCACTTTTTCGTTATTAAAAACGTAACCTCTTTTTTTTTTTTTTTTTTTTTAAAATAGCATTTATATATATATGTCAAATTTTATTATATGCATTTTTTTCTTTAAATTTACATTATTTTTTACTAATACTATTTTTTTTTTTTTTTTTTTATTAGAAAATGAACTATTTCATGAAGAGAAAGATACTCAATGCTTTAAGGAGGATTATGTTTTCATTAACTAACTAATATCACAAAAAAAAAAAAAATGTATTTTTATAAATTAAAATATATTATAAATAATATTTTTTTTTTTTTTTTTTTTTTTTTTCATTGAATATAAATTTAGTATGTAATTTATTTTATTTAATTTTCGTACTTTTTGTAATTTTTAGTTTTGTATTTTTGATTGTTTTTTATTTGTTTTAGAAAATTGAAGTATATTTAAAACTTCAATTAATTTTTGTATAAATTTAAAATTTGTTTTTGTACTTGTGAACTATTTTAATAAATTTTTTTTCATTTTGAAAAAATTTCTTTTTATTTTTCTATGTTTTAGAATACTTTTATAATAATTCTATCATTAGGAAAGTTTTGAATTAATTCTATTTCATCATTTGATGCTAGAACAAGTAAGTTATAAAATATTAACGAAGCATTTTTATCTGTCGTTTTATTTATAGGAAATATATTCTCAAAATCCATATTATTATGAAATTTGTTACTTAATTTACATATATAATTTTTTAATTTTAATAATTCTTCATCATATTTATGCTGTACTGAAGTAAAGGATCTTCTGTTAACTAATTTACTTGATGGAACGCTAATAGTGTCTTTAAAATTTTCGCTTAACGTGTAGTTAGAATTATTATTTTGCAAAGGTGCATTATTATCTCTTTTATTTTTATTATTTACATAAATGTTTTGCTCTTTTATTTTATTTTGATCCGAATTTATGTTGTAAGAATCGCTCATCTTATCAAAATTATAATCAATATTATCTGTTATATTAATAAAAGAACCGACTGAATTTTTTGAAATTTTATCTTTCTCTCGATTATTTTCTATATTAACATTCATGAAATAATCATCATTAAATCTTTCTCTTAACTCTTCAAAGTTTAAATTATTATTACTTCTTCCTTTTATAGGAGATATGGTTGATTTTGTATAAATTAACTTTAAATTATTTGGTAATTTATTACCTTTTTCATTTTCAATTAAATTTTCAAATACGTTGTATAATTCTTTTCTAGAATCTAACGTAGTACAATTTTTTGTTAATTCGTAAAAATTTAAAAATGACAAATTATTCAAAATATTTTTTTTATTATTATTTATAATATTAAAGAAATAATTAATGTTTTCCAAATTTTCATTGAAATACTCCTCTGATTTTTTTTTTTTTTTATTTATTTTTAATTCATTCCATGTATTATCTTTTAAAATAATTTCTTCATCTACATCAACGAAAAATCTTTTTTTGTTATTTTTTTTATCATTTACTTTTTTAGAATTGTTATCTATTTTATTATTTATATTACCATCATTTCTTGTAATAGCACTATTTATGTTATTATAAAAAAAACCTTTCTTATCTATATTTATGTTTGTAATTAAACTGTTAGTCGAATAATTGTTTTTTTCTAAATTTTTATTTTCTCCGTTTTTTGTATCTTCAAATAAATTGAAATTAAATGTATTCTTCATGTTACTTTGCATTTTTATTTCATCAATACTTTCTTTTGTATTCAAATTATTTATTCCGTCATTCACAGTATAAAAGTTATTAATTTTAGAGTATTCAAATGAAGATTCGTTTGCTAAAATATCTTGATAAATTATATTTTCTTCATTATGAATTCCATCGTTTTCAAAGTTATAATCATTTATATATATTTCATTACTTTCTTTTAACATTAAATCATTTACATTTGCTATGTTTTTATTTTTATTTAAATAATTAGAAGTGTTCATAAGTAATTCAGTGTTATTTCTATTTACATCCTGTAGAGATAATATTTTTTTTTTTATTTTAAAACCTTTATTTGTTTTAATTTTTTTCATCATTTTATTTAAATCATTATTTATATTATGATTATTAAATAAACATTTTTTATACATAGCATAGAAATCAGTTAATAATACTTCTAGCTGTCTATGCAAAAAAATTGTTATTCCTTTAATTAGTATAGCTGTTTGTTTAAAATTAAAATTTCCATTTTTTATTAAAACCAAATTATCATTTAAATTCGTATATCTAACTAATCTGTCACTTATGGTTTTTTTTTTAAGAATTATTTTTCCTCTATAAAGATTACTACTAATTCCTAAAAAATATATACATCCTACTTTACTTGTTTTATCATAAATTAGAAGATTTTTTTCTTCAGTCAAATTATAATTATCCATTTTTTTTTTTTTATTTTAATCACAATTTTTAATTGTATAAATATCAAAAAAATAACAAAAAAAAAAAACTTAAAAAAATTAAATTTAAATAATATAAAAATTAAAGAAAACAAATATAGAATAAAAATTAAGAAAAAAAGACAACAAATAGATCGTTAGATCAAACTAATATTGAAATATTAAAGTACACAAATGTTTTCTATGAAAATTAATATTTATAAATGATCTATATAATGAAACAAATTTATACAAGAAAAAAAAATATGTAAAAATATATTTTTTTTTTTTTTCTTAAAAATGACATAGAACAAAAGAGATTGAAGATACTTTGAATTAGTTTAAGAATAACCTATATAGAAAAAGAATTGCACAAAGAAAAAAAAAAAAAAAAATATTAAAAAATTAAAAGACTAAAAGTATGAACTTAATATATTCAATATATTAATATTAGTAAAAAAAAGGACAAGTTGTAAAAATAAGTTTCTAAGTTATAGTAATAAAAAACAAAATAAACAAATTGGAATTATCTCAATTTGTTTTATTTATTAAAATTTTTATCTAAAAAATTAATTTAATAAAAAATAAAGATTTAATTATTTTTATTAAGATTTCTTTTCCGAATTTTTAGGAAAAAAAGTAATATACTTTTATTTTTATGATGTTTAATTATGTTAAATTTGATTTTTAAAAATACAACATAAAAAAAGAGATTATATTTGTTATGTAAAAATAAAAAATAAAAACCAAAAAGATACAATTAAAAACTATTTTTGTTTTTTTTTTTTTTTTTTTTCTTAACATCTTAAAATTTACAAATGAATTCAATGTAATTACATAAAGAAAATTTATATATATTTTTATTAAATTTAAAAACGAAGTTTACTAATATATTTTTTCATGACATATTCTATATTTTTTTTTTTTTTTTTCTAACGATTATAGTCTTTTTTAAAATAAAAAGAAAAAATAGAAAATTCATTAGTTATCAAATTCTAATAAAATTACCAATTATATGTTATAAATAATATAAAAATACACTAATTACTTTTAGTTTTTTAAATTAGTATTTAAAAATAAAATTTCTATATTTGCACTATTTCATTAAAATAAAAATAAAAAATATATATTAATGAAATGTGCATATTAAGTGAATTTTAAATTAATTTTATAGATTTAAAAGATAACATATAAAGTTTTTGTAAAAAAAAAAAAAATTAAATTAAATATATAAAATTAATAATCAATTTTATTTTTTATTTTTGTATATTAATACTTAATGTTTTTGTTTTATTCATAATAATATTCTACTTTTAAAAATAATATATTTTTTATTTTGTTTTTTCTTATCTTATTGAAATATTTCTTTTTATTCCTAAATAAATATTAATATTTTTTTTTTCTTTTTTTCTTTTTTTTTTTTTGTTTTAAAGAAGATGTAATTATATATTTTTTTTTTTTTTTGTGATTGAAAATTTAAAAAAGAAGTAAATATGGATGATAATGCTGAAATAATATTTGTTGGAGGAATTGATGAGACAGTAGATGAAAAATGTTTATATGATATTTTTTCGTCATTTGGTGATATAAGAAATATTGAAATACCTATGAATTTGGTTTCAAGTAAAAGATATACATTTTTTTGAAATTTTTTTTAATTAGTTTAATACGAATTTAATTGTTGTTTAATATATATTTGGAAAATAAAAATAAATTTAATATATTTTTTTTTTTTTTTTTTTTTTTTTTTTTTGTAAGAAAAAAATAGGGGTTTTGCATTTATAGAATATGTAGAAAAAGACGATGCTAAACATGCTTTATATAATATGAATAATTTTGAAATAAATGGAAAGAGAATTTATGTAAATTATTCCAAAACTAAAAAAGTGGATCAATATAAACCAGGTTTATTATTACTTTTATTTTTCTTGTTTATTTTTAATGTTTTATATATAGAAATATTATATTTCTTTTTTTTTTTTTTTTTTTTTTTTCATATATTTTTTATTATAAATTTTATGTTAAAATGTACTTTTTTTTTTTTAGTGTGGATAGATGATTTGTATAATCAAGAAAAAATGAAATTATTAGAAGAAAATTCAAAGGTAAAAAAATAAAAATTATAATAATTTTACACATTTAATATTGTGCTTACTAATATAAATACGAAACTTATAATATTGAACTTTATTTACTATTATTATTTCTAGTTTACCTTTATTGTTTTCATAATTTTATCATTTCATTACTTCTCTATTTAGAGCCATTTAAATTATTTTATTTTATTTTTTTTTTTTTATAGGAAGAAAATTTAGATAAAGACAATTCATTTGATTAAAAAAGAATTACTTTTTCATATAATTATATTCATTGATTATGTTGTAGGAAGTTTTGCAATTAATTTTTCTTAAGTTTATTTTTATTATTAAAATTTTTATACTCAATATCATTTAATGAAAATTATATCATTGATTTAATACTTCACCTATTTTAAGATAAAGTCAAACGTTCCTTTAAACGAAATGAAATTAACTATATTTTTAATATAAAAATAAAATTTATTAAGAGAATATAATTATATATGTAAATTTTAAACATCTTATTTATCTACTAATGTATTGTAATTATTATGTACTCTTTTAGAAAACATATATATTTTATCTTTTTAGAGTTTGAAGAAAAAAAAATATTAACGAAATAATACATATATATATATATATATATATTTATACATTTCTTATAATAAATTATATAGATAGGTTTTTGAAATAATAGTATTTATGATTTTCATGATTTTTTTTTAAATTAAATTAATGAAGAGTATAGATTTAATGTATAAGATTAAATACAGCAATATATTACAGTAAAAACATAAAAAAGGTATATGTATTTATAATAATTTTGCTGTTAAAATTATTTATATTAATATATATATTTTAGGATGTATAAGCTTTTAATTAAAAAAATGATGTTTTCTTTAATTTTTTTTAAAGCAATTTTTTTTTTTTTTTACAATATATATAAAACATTGATACTTTTCATTTTTCCTCATTTATCTTTATATATATATTTTTTTAATTATTCTTTTTATATTCTTAAGAATTTCAAAATTAATATATAATTTAATTATTAATGTTACTAAATTGTAAATATTTATTAGAGAATTTACAAAAATATAAAAAAAAAAAAAAATAAAAAGGAAAAATTAATATATATACATAAGTATGCAAATAATTTTTTTTAACATTCTATTAGCATCAGATTTGGATTTTCTATATAGTCTCTAATAGCACATAAAAATTGAACAGCATCTCTTCCGTCTAATAATCTATGGTCATAAGTTAATGCCAAATACATTATGGGTCTAATTACAATTTCATTATTAATTACAACTGGTCTATTTTTTATGGTATGCATACCTAGAATAGCTGACTGAGGCATGTTAACAATAGGGGTACTTAACATACTTCCAAACACTCCTCCATTTGATATAGTAAAAGTGCCACCAGTTAAATCATCTAATGATAATTTATTATTTCTTGCTTTTGTAGCTAATTCAGATAATGCTTGTTCTAACTGTGGTAATTTTTTATTTTGACAATCTCGAATAACTGGAACAGTTAATCCATTAGGTGTAGCTACTGCTACCGATATATCAATATAATTTTTATAAACTATTTCATCATTATCAATAAATGCATTTACTTGAGGCATTTTTTTTAAAGCTAATGTGGATGCATATATAAATAAAGATACAAAACCTAGCTTACATCCATATTTTTTTTGAAATGTATCTTTTAATTCATTTCTAAAAATCATCGCCTTACTCATATCACATTCATTGAATGTAGTTAGTAAAGCACATGTATTTTGTGATTCCTTTAGTCTTTCTGCAATTCTTTTTCTTATTGGTAACATACGAACTCTTCTTTCTGTTCTTTCATTTACATATTCATAGTTAACTTCCAAAATTTTATCTTCATTTGTAGATTTTTCACTTTTTTTTTCTTCAATTACATTATTTTCACTTTTTTTTTCATTAGTTGCAATATTTTCACTTTTTTTTTCATCAGTTACAATATTTTCACTTTTTTTTTCGTCTAATATACTTTCATTATATGTCTTTTTCTCTTTTTCTACTTCCTCTTTCATTATGTTAACATTTATCTTTTTTTCAGTTGTAGAAATGTTTTCTGGTGGTTTTGCTGAAGTATCTATTTCACATAAGGGACTATCAACCAATATGATATCACCAGCTTCAGCAAAAATTTTGTGTAAGGTTCCGCTGGACTTTGAATTAATATCAACACTTACTTTATCTGTATCAATAATTGCTAAAGTTTCATCATTCTTAACATAATCACCAACTTTTTTCTTCCATTCGTTTATTGTGCCTTCTGTAATTGAATCACCTAATCTTGGTACTTTTATGGTATCTAAAAAAAAAAAAAAATAATAAAATAAAATAATATAAAATAAAATATTATATATTAATAAAATTAAACATCTACGAAAAATTATAAATATTTAAAAATTTTCATTATTCACTCATTTTTGCAACTTAAATATATATAAATATATCTATATGTTTAATTTAATCTCAATGTAATTTATGTGAAAAGAATTTACCTATAGAAAAATATCTTCTAAAAACAAATCTATATTTTTCATTTTGTCTGCTCTTTAAACTAAAAAAGGTTCTTTTAACACTATTTAAATTATATAATGATGATTTCTAAAAAAAAAAAAAAAAAGAAATTATCCAATATTTCTTGTATTCATTAATATATAAATAAAACCCTTATGTTTTGATATGTCACAATATGTAATAATTTTAATAGTATATTTATTAATACTAATACTAATATATATATATATATATATATATATATATTTATTTATTTATTTATTTATTTATTTATTTATTTTAGATAATTACATTTAAGCGAAGTATGAGATTTTGTGTCATCTTTTAATATTAAAATTTTTGTATTCTTTTTTCTTTTTTGTTCCAATAAATGCAAGAAAATTACAAAATTATTATCATTTATATTAAAAAAAAATTCAATGCATAAATTCGTTTCAATTTAAAATGAAAAATATAATCTGAAATTAAGTCATTTTTTTTTTTTTTTTTTTTTTTTTTTTTTTTTTTTTAATTAAAATTAAAAAAAAAAAAAAAAAAAAAAAAAAAATT